TAAGATTCATCGCAAACCTTCGGCCAAAGGTTGCCGGAACTGAACCAAATCTAAGTCGTCTTTCCCTTGAAGAAATAACAGAAGCTAAGCATATACGGTATAAGTACATACAAGGAGCGATTCAAACAATCAAAAGTTTCAAGCAAGTTCAAGCATCACTGGGTCTATTCAAGGATAATTGTGGTATCTGGAGATGTGGTGGAAGATTATCCAATGCTAATATTGAACTTTCTGCTAAACATCCAGTTTTCTTGCCCAATGATCATTGGTTTTTACCTTGTTGGTGGAAGAATGTCACAGGAGAGTAATGCACAATGGTGTAAGAGAAACACTTTGCGAAATTCGTTCAGAACATTGGATTGCGAAGGGAAGACAATTTGTCAAGAAGATTATTGCAAAATGTACTACGTGCAAGAGATACGAAGGAGGAACTTATCAAATACCACCTCAACCATCATTACCAGATTTTCGAGTTTCTGACGATTTTGCCTTCACGCGAATCGGTGTGAACTTCGCGGGTCCCGTTTATGCCAAACCAATCTTCTCAAAAGGTACGAAATCACCTGTTTTTAAGACGTATATCTGTCTATTTACGTGTGCCTCGTCACGAGCATTACATCTCGAATTGGTTCCAGATCTATCTACAAAGGCATTTATTCTCTGTTGACAGTGATTCATGTCCAGAAGAGGTATCCCAAAAATGTTTATTTCGGACAATGGAAAAACCTTTAAGGCAAACAAGCTAGCAGAATTCGCAACCAGAAATAACATCAGCTGGAAATTCAACATTGAGAGAGCCCCTTGGTGGGGAGGATTTTTTGAAAGACTTGTGAAATCGGTGAAAAGGTGCCTGAGAAAAATTGTTCGAAGAGCTAGATTGACGTACGAGGAATTGGAGACAGTCTTAGTGGAGATAGAGGGCGTTATCAACAGTCGTCCACTGACGTATGTGTATAGTGACGAAGTTTGTGAAGGTCCGTTAACACCTTCGCATTTAGTTATGGGTCGTCGCCTTCTCAGTCAAGCACCTGTCGTGAGAGATGAGACTGATACTCCTGCGGGTAATGGAAGTCTGTCGCGTCGCGCAACTTATTTGAAGAAATTATTAGAACATTTCTGGAAAAGATAGAGTCGCGAGTATTTGTTAGAGCTTAGAGAACATCATCGTGTCAAAGGAGTTGGAAGAAGTGCGAAAGCGAATTCCAAGGAAGGAGATAAAGTTTGCGTGTACGTAGAGAAAACTCCAAGGAATCTATGGAGATTGGGAAAGGTCGTAAAACTTTTCAAAGGAAACGATGGTCAGGTTAGAGCAGTTGCACTCCGAATATGGAACAAAGGAAAAGAAACAATAACGTTGCAGCGACCTGTTCGAAAAGTATATCCAGTCGAGGGATCTCGCATTGACGAAACTACAAGTGTTCCAGTAAGAAGGTCAGAACGTGTTGCAGCTATCGAAGCCAGGAAGCAGCAGAGCAAACATGGACGATAAGTACTTGTTTGTTATCGCAGATACATTATACTGCGATCATTGTTGACATTATTAACTGACGTGCGTCATTTAATCGGGGGGGAGTGTATATGAAATTAGACGTTATAGTTACCCGGGCATTTAGCTCCAGGGGTCTTTTGCACGGGGTTTTTTATAGCGAGCACATGGAAATTTAGTTGTTGTTCTGTTTTTGTACAATTATAGTTTTTATTTTAATCTTTCGTACATCTTATGACGTCACACGGCTTCAAAATGGCGGCGGGAAAGTTTGCACGCGATAACCAACTTCAGAGGCCAAATTTGACAACTTCTAGGCATCGCATGATCGTCAAATATATATGAAAATACTACCAAAGGACCGAAATGTTATTTCAGCTGATAAACTAGGTCCAAAAATTCGTTGCAGTAGCACTGTTTAAACTTTTATTTGAATATTTGAACTTTAGATGTGACATAATAATAACTCACCCGTAATCACGTCAGCACTAATGAGGAGGGGGGGGGGGGCGTGCTTTTTGCGTAGAATGTCGTGGATGAAATAAATTGGCGCACGCGCTTATATTATTACCGTCGTTCAACAAACAATTGAGCCACGATTGTAGAACAACAGTTCCAAAGTTTCACATTTGATTTTGATAATCATTTTAATAAACTCTGGATTTATGTTATCTGCAATTACAGAATTGTCTTGCGGGACAATATTCTCCTGCCTTTCGTGAGTAAAATCTGACAGTTTTTGAATGAATTTTATCCAACTATATACGCTTGTTGGAGTTAATGTTCCAACAACATGTTGAAAAATTGCTTCTATCTTCTATACGTTACAATATAGCCCCATTTTTTGCGTTTTATTGATCAAAACTGTACAACGTCGAATACACAATTGACACGGAGGTTAGCGTATTGAATAAGCAGTTTAATTGTAGAATGTGAGAGTAACTCGTTTTTAACTTGCAGTAATCAAAATGGCGGAACTGCTCTTCATGAAGCGGCGCATTCTGGATCGCTACCCACAGTTAAACTTCTCGTTAAGCATCTGCCAAGTCTTTTAAATGTCAAGAATCGAAAAGGAGAGACCCCTGCAAGAATTGCAGCAATCCAAAACCAACACAGTGTACTGAAATACCTTTATGAAGTAGGAGTAAAACCTGAGGATGAATTAATTGACGAGGTTTTAATGAAAGATATTTTTGATCCCCCTAATCACGCTGATGTTGACACATTTATAATCGTGGCTGATGAAATTCTGAAATCCTCTGGAAGAGAAGGGCTGACAAAGGTAGAATTCAGCAATATATACTGTTTATGTTTATTGAGTTTCTCACAAGCTTGCGAGCGGATCTTCCAGTAGGCTATTGCCCATTGATAGGCGTCCGTGGTACCTATGATCTTAACATTACTTATAGTGTTTGTAAAACCACAGTAAATGACTCAATAATTCATTTTGTACTCCTAGTTATATTAATAGTTTTGTGTTTACAATTGATTGAACAATTCACAAAAACATGTGCGTGCACAATAAATTGCTTAAAACAAGAAAGTTGTCCTGCACTCAAATTTGTTGGAATGATGCAGATACTTTTATTGGCAAGATATATTATACAGGTGTATAAAAAAACTGAACACTGGGTGAAAAACGTGTTGTGTGTTTAGTTGCTGCACGAAAATTTCTGACAATTTGCTTCAGTTTAAGTCTTTTAACTATTCACACAAAGTTACATTTTTTTCCTAAAAAATCAGCCTTTTGCATGCTTAATTAATGCGTTTGCCTAATATGCAAATTAGGTAATGGCATTAATTAAGATGCGAAAGGCTGTTTTTTTTAGGAAAAAATAAATAATTAAAGGTTAAACTAAGCAAATTGTCTGAATTTTTGAACCGTAATTAAAAACCCAACAAATTTTTCATCATTAATTCAAAATACGATTAAATCATTTAAATTTCGTTCCCAAGCCATTTTTTAATTTCTTGGAAAAACACACACCCCTGGTTTACATAATTTGAGTTTGAGAATTTTTTTTCATTCTACATTATAAGTACCCAAACTATATACATCAAAAACTGGATACTAATAGTTGTCTTGCGAAATTGAGAGCAATTTCAAATCTGTTCGGGGTTTTTTTATACACCCTGTAGTAATTGCATAGATAAACAAAATTATGGTTTGAAAACGGATGGAATTGGTGGAATAATTCTGTCCAGCACGTTTGTATGTGCATTATATTTTCATATATTGTAATGGAAATTTTATTTCTTCCAATGTTTTAAATGTTCTGTATCCGTTTGTGATTAAGTAGAGTTGTTATGTGTGAAATGGTTAATTAAAATCACCAAAACAAATTAATATAACCATTAAAATGCTGAAGATGGCACTTTACCAACTCTAGAATTTAAACATATTTCCTGGGGAGCATATCCCGGACCCCCCTAAAAGATAATTGTATTATGTTATGCATGGATATTGTGGGAGTCTAAATATATTTTCATATAGAAAAGAAACATTATTCGAACTAGCGAAAGGTCAAATTGCTTCGCCCCTCCTGGGACTTTTTCGGTCGCCCTTGACCAGAATCCCTGGCTACATCACTGATGCATGATCAACAGTTTCATAAGATAATCATTTTTTCCTTAGGCAATCCAAATTCACACAAAATGGTTGCGGGTAGAGAGGGCAGCTGTGCATATTTTGAATCAATATATCTACAAAGATAATGACCTTTACATCTATGATTTCTCTCCGTTGAAAGGTACAGTATACTGTCAGTTTCGCCAATTATACCCACATCGTATGTCAAAATACATTGTTCTTAAGAACCGCGACTCTTTAGCGTTGCATTAATCCACTGGATAAATATTATGGAAGGAAGTGGAAAGGAAGAATTCAACGATTGTAATTGGATGTGCTTTAAAGACTCCTTCACCGAACGTGTGCAAGTTGCAGTGACTTAAAACCTGTTAATCATGCTGCTTTTATCAAATATTTTCCAATGCATTAAGAATCTGTTTTATACCTATTTTTGGTAAGGCTGTTTTATTTTGTTTGTTTGGTTTGGTTTGGTTTGGTTTGGTTTGGTTTTTGGTTTTTGGTTTTTGGTTTTTGGTTTTTGGTTTTTGGTTTTTGGTTTTTGGTTTTTGGTTTTTGGTTTTTGGTTTTTGGTTTTTGGTTTTTGGTTTTTGGTTTTTGGGTTTTGGGTTTTGGGTTTTTGGTTTTGGGTTTTGGGTTTTGGGTTTTGGGTTTTGGGTTTTGGGTTT